AGAATTATGCATAAAATAATGATCGCATATCGATTGAGCTGTATGAAGAACGCTAGAGCTGCAATAACGGCGAATGAGTGGTCCGCGACAGCCGCGTGCGGCGAATCCATTACCCAAAATCGTTCCTAACGACCGTCTCCCCGTATTCCCTGCTCCTCTACCACTCTTCAGCCGAGGTTGTCTTATCAGTTGCCTGTGATAGGGACTTGTATTGGGTTAAGACTAGATAGAAATTTTTTTACGGCTACTGAGTAATGGGGGTGACCAAAAATTATGGAAAAGTTACAATATGGTACCAGTTTTTGTTTAAAAACCTGCAATTATCCCAAATTTATGCAATAGTGACTACGGTATAATAACCGGCCACAAAGATAAATCGCTGCACAGAGGATGCCTAGTAGCAGTAGAACCAAAGTATTTGAAGGAGGGAGAAATTGTGAAATTAGAAGTTCAGTCATATGCAGTAGAGAAAAGTCCGCGTTCAGGATCTACTGATCTCGTAATGACGCCTCTTCTACTCTACCTACTCTTTTTGTCAGAGGAAAGACAGCTCTGTTCAAGCCAACAGTCGGTCCGAATACGTCACAATAAGTAGCGCACATAAGCGGAAGTGAGACGAGGAAGCCAAACCCACCTTGTTTCTCCACAGAGCGAAAGCCACTATCGCGTTCAGGATCTTCTGATCTCGTAGTGACGCTTCCTCTGCCACGACGTCGCTATTCGTATCGACGGCGCCAGCCGATCGCATTGCCTCGTATGGTTGGTGCGTCCAGAAATGTTCCTAGAATATAATAAAAATTTTCCGCTGGACTTATTCAGTTGGAAAATTCTGCATAAATACATCCAAAAAAGTTAATATAACCTCCTACTGTAGTTCTGAGTGGTGTGGACCTGCCCCCAATGTTGTCTACACCTTATGATCAACTTTACAGGAGTGAGTGCGAACGAAATTTTGGTGATTAGGGTAAGGGGTTAGAACTCCCGGTATGGGCATAGAGAAGGCCACAACGAAGCCAAAGACGAGAAAGTGAACACTCAACTCTACTTTGGCTGCTTCTATGTGCTCCACCGGAAAAAAGAACATGCCGTAAGGTCTCATGTGATATGTCGTAAAAGTAGGAATTGGTGCATAAAACTCCAACGAAAATAAAAGAAATGTTCTATACTTCAAGCAAAGTTGGTTTATCCTCAACAGCTCGCTTAAGGTATTCGCTTGTTGAAGAAAATAGGTTTGCCGACAGACTTCCAAGTGATAGGTGATCTCCACCATTAGCGATAAAAAATCATGCTCATCGGGCTCCGCTGCCTTCGAGCATCCACTGCTCTACCTCGATGCGAAAAAAATCTTCATTTTTCGGCGAGTAGTCGGAATGACAGTCAACCACACAGACTTGCGCATGAGTAGGCTATTCTCGAATGGTGAAAACTTGGGTGTGCTTAGAGAACTGAAGGTGACTAGCTTCAGCATAAGTATTTTTCTTGATAGCAAACGAATTTTTTAGAGCAGCATCCACTGCGCTTCTCAAAAACAGCGCGTTTTAGACGAAGAGCAGATGTGTTAAGCAAGGATGTACAGGGTGGAGGGTTACTGGTCAAATTTTTCCTTTTTTTAGCAATTGAGCATGTCCGGAGAGAATAACAGCTGCAATATGGAAAAGGGAACTGTTTTTCAGCTATATCCCGTCCAAAGTCGAAATTGAGTATATTCAATTCGAAGTAAAATCAATACCATTCTTTGTTATCAGGTAGCAAATCCGAAGACATTGGACAAGGAAGTAAAAGGAAGGGGTGCTTAAAGAAATGGAATGGAAGAAATGCAAGACAGCCTATGTAGAGTAGTTGCAGCTAGGGATTCGACTTGAATGAATCTTGTTTTTTTTCCAAAATACTCCAAAAAGTCAGTTGACATTCAGTGCTCTCACATAAAATTCTATAACCACTTTTATAGCTACTTTTTGAACTATCATCTTTTAATTCAACAGAAGCTTCCTTATACAAACACTGTAAGGAGACAGCATGTAATAAAAGCCGTTGATCATCCCTCAAGCGAGGGCAAGTAACGTCCTACTCGTGTCTGTCGCGAGCCAGAATAATTGAACGGATCGTTCTCGCGCCAGGGACACGAGACATAGCGTTCCTTTCCTTTAGAGCTTTCGTGAAGAAGCCTGATCTTCTCGTTGGCGTTGAGCGACGGCGTTCTGGTGTTCGCTTACGTCCCGAAGGATCCAGTCGGTAACCGCCCTGGTCCAACGGTCATCACTATATCGCATAACGTTCTCCGCCCACCTGATCTTCAACTTCTTGGCGTAATCAACTGCATTCCTGATCCTCGTTCGTTGACAGAGCTCATGACTCCGTATTACCTTCCGCACTTGCGTGCATGTGGAAATTTCGAGCATCATTCTTCTATCGTTGAGGAGTGACGCTGACCGCATCCTTATCTTGCCTTCGTGGAGTCCAAATCTCCGGGACGTATTTCAAAGCAGGAAGAACCGCAGTGTCGAAACGGTGAGCGCGGAGCCGGATGTTCTTTGTCTTCTTCACTGCCCNCCCCCCCCCCCCCCCCCCCCCCCCAATATTCTTGAATGCCCCTTACTCTTTTTCCCTTTTCTCATTGTCAACTCCGGAGCTATTATAGTTCCGCCGATCATGTTCACTTCTCGACCTAGGTTCACGTAACCAGAGCAGTTGAGTAGTCGTTCCGTTTAGCGTGAGGGATGTATCAGGTACCAATCCGTTCCTCATGAACATTGCCTTCTTTAAAGTCAGTCTTAAGCTGATCTTTCCACAAGCATTAATGAACGCTGCCGGCATTAAGGAGAACGGCACAGAAAAGTTGAAGTATATTCAAATTTTTTATTCAAATTCATGTTGAAGACGCGGTTAACTTCGAAGGATTTAATCGAGATTGAACGTTGATGAATTCTCTAAGAAAAAAAGAGGAATGTGCTTCTCCAGAAGATATTCTTCATTCTTACTTCCTGTTTACTAGAACTCTCATAACTCTGGTATAGGTTCTTGGGCAAGCCTTGAAATCAGAATACTCTGTGGTCATACCCAGTTATTACTTACCCAAATCCATTCCCTGCAGAAGGCAAACGCCATTCGGAGTGTCTCGATGGGCGGCACATGGGAATGGGAGGCATTGTGTCGAATCTCCACTAACCAGCTGGGTATTCCAAGCTGAAACTATCATGTAACTTTGAGGCATCTCACAGTGTTCCTGATGTGAAGAATATGTTTGTATTCTCAGCTAATGAAGCAGTGTCCACTGCAAAAATCCATAGAATCAGGGAGAATTTTTTAAGAAAAAGTGATGAATGGAGATCTGCTCCGAGGAATAGCTTTACAACTTATTTCCGACTTTCACGGATGCGTTCTACGTCTTTTAGAAATGCAGCGACGAACCTGCTGCACAGCCCTTACGATTGACGTCTGTCGTTGGCGTTGACAAATTTCGTTCACATAGTTAACGAATCTGAAAATAGCCAAATTCCGTTCTATGAGTAACTGCAAATCGATCTACAACACGATTACAATTCTGTTCAAGTCCAATAACTACTACATACCGGTGCACCTAGTCCCAATGGCTCGGACCTTACGACAGCTATCACTTTATATGGAAGTCTCCGCCTTCGACAGGACAGATTGTTTGTTGTTATATCCCACAGGAAGGACACTATAGAATGGCAGTGATTGCGGGAGTCCTTCACAAAGTCATGAGCCCAGATAACTTTATACACAATTTCAATTACGCCATTATCAGCTCTACGAGAGAAGGGACGTCAGATGAATTCGTTAGATGAATTACTCGTGATAAACCTTTCAGCTGAATCCTGACCTTTTCTGCTAATGTGTGATTCAGATCTCATACAGAATGGATAATGCAGCTAGTTAGATACTAAGTTCATGGCATGACCTCCAAATGCCAGTCCATGATTGATTTTTTTTATTTTTTAGCTATTTTAGTATCCAATACTGTATTCCAAAGAGAGGAATATTCGCCTAAGCGGAGAAAGCCTCAATATCCACATTTTATCTAATTGAAAAGCGGCTGAAAACACCACTGCACCGTCTTTTGGCCACAAAGAGCAAGATCGTAAAGTGCAGCGACTTTCGCGCATGGCACTTTGGTATATCATTTTTAAAAAGGGCAAGTTATCTTCAAATTAATGGGTATCGAAGCTGCAGTGAACGACGCTTTAGCTGTTTATTCGAACTTTCCTCTACTCCACGTCCCATTTTTTCCTGCTAATGATCACGAATGAAATGAAACCCCCAGCGAGAGGAGAATTTAATTAAATACTTGCATATACTAGGCGCTACAGCCAAACAAACTTTTAATTGATTGGAATTATTTTGTAAGACCCCCGACCCCGTTTTCCCTGACAAAACACTACCGGACATCCACTGATTAAGATGGCCCTGCTTTTTTGACTTTGCATAGACATCATGAGAGAAGTCGAGAGGGATTTGAAATTCGACTTCATAAAGTCGGTTCTGAGTGAGTACGACAGCGGATCATAGGTTCAACTTCGGCATTTTCAGTATCCACAGGGGCAAAGCACACAAAATCACTTTCATTGAAGAGGGTAGTAAATGCGGACCAGAGCGAAAAGACCGTGAAAGGCATCGGATAAAAATTTGTATTTAAGGTTTAAGCTTTAAGGTTGCAATTAAATTTCTGCGATTAAATGTCCATTACCGCCCCCTGTGCACCAAATGTTGAATTCAGAATGAGTACTGACGCAAATGTCACAATGAGCTGTAAAACGATAGGCGACTCACGGTGGATGTTAGTGCTTTAAGGAGTAAATCGAGGAAGAAAAACGGATGACCAAACAGGACAAATAGCGATATTCATTGGATAAGGCAGAGCACTCTGTTGGCGTGAGAGATTTAAGAGGAGGCGAGGCACTCATGATGACAGCAGCAGCAGTCATATTCCCACACAGCGCGGTTTTCAAGCAATTGCCAAATCCTAAAATGCCCCCACACACCAGTACGCAACGAGGAGACGATTGTTTGTCGTTCGGCTTCTGACTGGTACCATTTCACACTGACTCGCATGACTACTCGTCGTCCTATCAGCCGTTCAGCCAATTATGCCTACACCTGCTACTCTGCGCCCAATCCCAAAACGTCGGAGCAATCCTGCCAGATGAGAGGTTTTCACGCAGTCAGTAAGGCATACACTGATTCTGAGCGGAATATCGCCCACAACGCTTCTTTGTTCGGGGGTTGAGCTTTTCAACAGCTCACTAGCCTCATCGGACTTCTCTTCTGAGGGGCGAATCGCGTGAATGATTTTCTTGTACTTCAGCTCTCACGAGTATTGCTAGGTCAGAAGTGAGCAATAATTTCCATGAAATGAATTCAAGCGGCGAAGTTCATGCCATGTAATGTCGCTTTCACTCAGTGAGAGAAGCGAAAAACGGCACCCCTTGTGGATTTCCTTCATTTGGCCTGCTTTTCCCTTGTCCCGAATGTATTCCAAGATATTTGATACGGGTCTTGCTAGGAGTTTGGAGTTGGCTGACTTGTTATGGCGAATGTGTCCACAAAATGGGGATGCACACAGGCAGGGCAGGGTCTTCGTAATTGAAGTGGATGAGAAGTGCGTTTTATTGTTGCCGCCTTGCCCCTCCGTCCACGTAACTATCCCAGGCATCATTAAATCCCTGAATGTGCCACACCACCACGCTGACCCAAATTCACATCGAGCTCCAGTCACTTTTCCAACCACAGTCTACTTCTGGATTCCTGCTCGATGTACCTGCACTACAGCTCATGTCAAGCTGCTGTTTTCATCCATTTCTCATGTATCACCAAGAGATTTCTCCCATTTCTCCCATCTGGTATCATTGTTCCAATCCATGCTCTATTTTCACAAACTGTTCGTATTCACTCATTCTCTGCATTTCTCCGCCCTTGTGTTTTTCCTCATGAAACCATTACCTTTGTTGCTGTCACTAGCCGCTCATTTGTGGATTTTGGTGTGCGACGTGTACATTATCCCCTCCATCGCTTAAAACTTTTAGGGTTTTTGAAAACAACGGGCTGCGGCTTCGCCCACCTGAATTCACGTAAGTTCATAGACGGTGCTCCCTTGACTTTGTTCAATCAGCACAATATTAAAACGAGTGCCGACGTCCCGATTTGATTAGCGTGGAGGTGAATCGCCGCTGCATAAGTGCTGCGCAACGTCTTCGAGCCGGTCCTCGCACATTGACGACTGCTTGGTTCGTCATACGCTTCATGAATCAAAGTGACGGAGCTACCATACAGGTACGTTACCTTTCCATTACTGAACCTTTCTTAGTAATTGGCAGCCAGAGGGGATCACTAGAAAGTTGCATACTCTCTTTAAGCAGTTACGATCAAATATCAGTAGTTATCTTTCATTATCGCAGCCCCATTACCGTAGTTCTTTCAGATAACGAGGCAGAACATTCTTGGCAATACTATGCTTTCAAAAGTCGCCACCCAATGATCAAAACGCAGAATTTCAGATCTCAGAAGAGCTCTAGTATGTCGAGAGAATGACAACACGTCGACATTTCATATTCCTGCTGATATTTCACACATTTCTAATAGGTCAGTTGGACGTCTTAAAACGTTCTGAATAAAAAAAACTCATTATTCCACGACAAGCCCTTACTCTTAATACTTATTACGGTACTTCGCCATGAGTGTAAGCCTAATCTTCAGGGCCTGCAAGAGAAGCGATTGTTCTCTTCGCTTGAACGGAAGCCTAGAAATGCTCTAATCGATGCTCCTGTGTTATTCTGCTCCACATATCCCCGTTCGCCCGTCGGAACCCTACCTCAAAGTGAGATTAGCGGCGTCGCTGAAGAGGACAGCCGCCCCTAGCACGTCGTTTGCTCGCTTGACTTCTTCGCCAACTCTTGTTGAGTCATAATTGAACGACGACAGACCTCTTCGAAAAGCCGCGCCACATTTGTATGCAAATCCAATCCAACCGCCTCTTTCAGCCAGTAAAAGGGAATTTCCAGCATTCGTACACCTCGTCTGATCGAAGGCGAATATGGTAAACAGCGCCATGTTAGCTATGAGGCGGAATGAAAAGTCCAGTTGGCGACGAAATTTCAATCCACCTGAGCAAATCGAGCAGAAATAGGGCAAAATTCGAGGGTCTAAGAAACAAAACTCCCAAAGTCTGTAGAACGTTTAGTCATTCGGTCCTGGCATATTTTTAAAATACCACTGAGTGAACTTAGGATTCATGTGGGATTCAGAATTTATGGTAAACTGTCTCCAACTGTTGTCTCGGAGTTCGTACTCGTAATGCAAGTCCAGAGTGGGACAGATTTCTTCAAGCAATAACCATTTAGCGCAGGTGAAAGTCAAAGGGATTCAACTTCGGGAAAATATAAAAGTCTTATAAAATCAGCAGCTTGCGCGAAGAAAATGTCAACAGAAAATTCCATTGCAGGTTGCGCCATAATCTGCTATGATTGCCACAGTGATCAAGGCACATGTAATGAAGGCGAATGCGAAGGAGTCGTGTGCATTAAAATGGAGACTTCGAACAAAGACAATGGTAAGAGTAAAAGATAGAAAGATAGCCCGAAAAACATTTACTGGCCTCGATTAGTTGATCTTATGTAAAGAATCGTGATTAATTGGATCGCGATTGGATAAGTAGCTGGGATAAAGAAGGACTTGGCGGGGCCAGCCCATGTGAAGGGCTCGTGAAGCTTCCACCTTTAAGGCGACACTGTTACCGATACATGGTTCTAAAGGGAACGAATCCCTGGTTAGCCTAAGCAGGTGTTCAGAATTTTTGTATATAAAAACTATCTAAATTCAACTCGCAAGAACTTCAGTGATGTCGCAATCAACAAAAGGTTTTTTCTTTTCAAAACTTTACATTGACAGCATCTCAATTCTTTTGTTTTCTGGAACCACGAACTTGCTTTTTTCCACGGCTTTTATAAAGTCAACCTGTTCAAATTCAGGTAAAGAAAAAACTTAAACGGAATTTTACTTAACTTGAAAATGTTTAATTTTCATAAAAATCGCCGCGAAATTCTTCACTCATGAAGCAAGTATTATCCAACGTTAACGATATTTTGCAGTCTTTTTGGGATTATTTGGAGACAGACAGCCCCTGTGTCAAATGTCTTACCATTAGACAACAGCAACGATTTCTTCATGAAGATTCACGTCAATTACCACATTTATACATCGACAAGCCTTATTTAGTAAATCCTACAGCATATTTACTACTTTCATTTTTTCTCAAGGATGTGAACAGGGTGTACCATTCATGATGAAATTCATGAGGTCTTGGGTCGATTGACGTTAATCAATCCCTTCTGAGAGTGCGCCCTAGCTTTCGACTTAAATTCAGAATCATCGTGGCGTATTGTATGCGTTATGACCATACAATGATTTGCGATGACCAGCCGACGTACAGGTTAGTATGCCTTAGAAGAGTCTGGTATCGATAACCCTATTCCAGAGGGAAGGTAGGCTCGGCTGACCTCAGCAGCGTCGATCCGGATTCGACCCGTGACTAGGCGTTTGTGATTGTGCGCCACTTGCCTCCACACCACCTTTGCCCACAAGATGAACCTGCTATGAAAGTTCATGATGAATGGCTTTACTGCGTGAAATGTCAGATATTTTCTACAGTTCTCTTTTTTTTTAGTCTCTGATTTTCGGTGAAATCTAATCGGTTGATCTGCGGTTCACCTAGCATCCAGAAAAAGAGTGATATAAGTTTCGACCACATATCATCACCATTTCCGAACACAAACTAGAGTAAAGTGTTGGTTGAGTTCGAAGAGCAAAGTGGTAAACAGATATAATGGCTGCTACCGCATGGCACCATGAATCTCCTTTACCAAGTGTTCACTATTTAGCTGCTTTGACCCCAGGTTGCGAATAACGGGCAAATGACGGACCAAAGACCACCGCTTATGCAGATACACAGGTACTTTGCAAGATGGACCACCCATTTCGAACAAGTCGTATACTTTTTGTCTCCCCGAATGCGTGTGCAGAGTTTGCTGGAACCGTTGGTTTCCTGCACGTCGGCTCAACCGAGAGCGCTCATTCGAGTGTCCGGGAAGTGCTTTAGAGGCGGTTCAGGGTTGCCTCTAATAAATAAGCCCCTGTTCACTCTGAGATAGCATGGTTGACTACTCGGCTGAGAAGCTACTCGTGGGCAATGAATGGCTACGGAAACAGTAGCAGGGATTGAATCTCACTTCTTGAATAAGAGCAGGCTCCCAACACGGTAGTGTTGGGTCAATTCGTACGAAAGAGTGTGATGAATTCCTATGATCATAATAATGGACTGCCAAAACGGAGAAGGACTAAGCTGGCGGGCTCTACCTCCAATGCATAGAAGCTGAAGATTCAGTAGGCCGAGCCAGAAATCGCAAGAACGACATCATCAGACTGGAGACATAAGGCATCGTCCGCTGCACGCCGTTTTCGACACTGAAGAGAACTCCTCTTCCAGCGACAGCAGAGACGTCTGTAGTGTAAATGGCCTCGTCATTACGCCCTAGGCAATGAACATCGATTTGTATGAAAGCTTAATCACCCGGATCGGACGTTAAGAAGACGTGCCTCAACCCCAGCTATAACAATCTTCGTTGCCTACGTACCACATCATGCTAAGAAGAAGAGGAGCTGGAGCGTTTTATATGGTTCTGGAAAGAAGAAGAGAAGACCATACTTTCTTCAACATCACCGTCAGTGATTTCAGCACCAACACAGACCTCAAAAGAAGTGAAGAATCACATATCGATGCTCATGGGACGAAGTGGAACAAGCAGAGCCGAAAGGTTGCCCTAATCTACACACATATTATGTTGTCCTAGCATATTATGTCGGCCCACACCATCCATAGTAATATGCAGTTCTAGGAGCTTTCTCCTTGCTATGGACTTGAGGGTCTTACCCGGTAGACTGCTACACAAGGAAATTGATAACATCATTCAAACACCTTTTTCTCGACTGACGTCACGCGTACCGATTCCAGAATTCTACACGGGATCGTATCATCGTGAGCTCCGCCAACATCTGTTTTCATTCAAATCTTGCGAGGAATATGTCAAATTCAAAAAACGTAACCGTCGTAGATAAGAATCACTTCACTTAACTTTCGGATTTATTGGGCGATTTCGTTATCGAAAAGATGACGAGGACTACAACACCTTCGCAGCAGCACTAATAAAGCGATTTCGAAGCGATAAAGCGAAGCGAGCCTTCAAGGGACTCTATTCGAGGGTGCTTGAGCTGATAAGGCCGGTGGAGTCGCACGAGCTGTAGTCTGTATCAGCTGAAGTCCGGTCAGAGCTTCTCCAAACACAAGACCAAGACAACTTGCCCTTTTAAAATCTCTGACAGAACGGTTACTGCACTTCAGCAGGCAATGACAGCCACTTACGACTACTACTTTCACCTCTTCGATAACCATTACTCGCCTACCTAAAATCTCATGCAGAAAAGGAATTGTCCCTCCCAATCCCCCTCACAGAGTACCATACGCTATAATGGTGGAATCCGCGGAGAAATGCGTAGCGTCTGCCCCGACAAGGTTAAATCAGTATGTTACACTGGTGTGCTAAACTTAGGGACGGGTCGATAACTTAACATAATTCGTTAAGGACAGAAGGAGAAAGTGAAAGAAAAGGTAAAAGTATGGCAGTATATTGCGAGATCTATGCACAGGAAGTAAGACTTCCCTTCGTGGAGGAATAGTCTAAATAGGGCGCGAAATATGGCTGCCCCAAATCGAGACAGTTGATAGGTACTAAAAGAAAAATTCGTCAATCAGAGAGTAGGACAAAGTACTTTGGTGGTATCCCTTTATATATCATCTGGATGGCTTCACACTAGGAAGAATAATCGGGAAAGTCCAAGGCGGTCGGACCATGACGATTGTAGGTTGGGAGCCCGATATCGCTCAAAGCGTTGTCTCATTGTCTCACGTGCACGAAGATCATTCCAAATCTGTGATACTGTTGTACGACGAAGAGAGGATCAAATGACCAAGGTCAACTAAACTGTGTAGCAGGCAAGAGGGAATCCACGTCAATCAGCTTCCGTGATTGCAATGACATTTAACAGGACTTCAAGGCAAGCCATCTCGCGCACAACAGTGACACGACGATTGCTTGAAGGCAGTCTGCTCGTCCGACGACCACAGCGTTGTGTTCCTTTGACCCTCGCGCATCGGCGAGACCGTTTAGGACAGTGCAAGGAGCGTAGCGGACTGACCGTTGAGGAATGGAGCCGTGTACTCTTTTCGGAAGGGAACAGATTCAGTCTGAGTAGTGATTTTGGTTGCACCATCATATGGCGGGAGGTGGGGACACACAACTCTCCTGGGGACATTGTCGAACGTGATCGTTCTGGTGTTCGGTGTCATGGTATGGGAAAGCAACATGCTGCTTAGCCGACTGATCTCCAGATTTTTGAGCGTGGAACCCTTTTCAACAGCGTTACAGTGACGATATACTTCTTCCTCATGAGCGACTTTCTAGGGCTGCAGAAGGCCTTGAACTCATTTCTATGGATGACAAGGTGTGACCGCATCGAATAGCACAGATGGAAGAGCTCTTCGCACAAAAAGATAACCTGGCGAATGGAGTGGCCTGCCCGTTCAACTCCTAAATCCTATCGAGCATGTGTGGTATGCGCTGAGTAGACGCATTGTAGCACGTCCAAATGTTTCAGTGACCATCCAGTTGTCAGTTGCACTCATAGAGGGGTGGAATGCTCTAGCACAGAAACTCATTACTAACCTCGTGGAAAGTATGGGATCGCGTTGCTACATGTTTTGCTATCTGTAGTGATCACACACTCTCAAAGGAACCGCGTCACCATTTCGAAGTACCAGGATAAATTGTAAAGGCTTACGTGTTATCGATACCATTGAATGAAGACGTACCTGTTGGTCTTATTCCTAAATATTCTCTGTCAGTTGTTCCCTGTGCAGTACCGTAATGGACCTTTCTTGGTATGATATAATTTCATGGAACTCTGCTATTTGGCAGAGGTGCAGTAATTGAAAGCTGCTCTCACACCTAAGTTTTGCACACTGGTGTATCTCGGCAAAACTCTGACTACCTCTTTATCCGGTATCAGGAAAGCTAAACACTTAATTTGGGTGTAACTACAAACGTTGTGTGCCTGTATATGGAGGGAGAATTGAAGATATTGGCAACCATCCCTCGTCTGGACATCGTCTGTAGTCTCCGAACTCTTCACACAACTAGAACTCAACCGTAGTGCCAAAATACTGAAGATAAGAGAGAATGCAGGGTTTCGGGAAGGGGTTCAATACGCTAAAACATTTACACAGTCACCACATTGATCGAAGTTGTAGTACACTGGTAGAAGTCCAGGATGCCGTTATGTCTGTCGTTCATCGATAAGAAGACGATTCTGTTAACGCCAAGATAGACGCGGCAATGGAAGATAGGCAACCAGGGTATTACTATTAGAATGCTTCGTGGGCTTTACGACAGCTTCACGACCTGAATTTCGCCATTCTATGAGGAAGGCACTGTCAACGTGAAGAAGGGGGTCCGTAATGGCGATATCACCTCCCCTGAATTTTTCGTTGCCGTTCTCGATACGTCATGCGATTTGGAAGGGGAAGACATGAAAGTGAAGGTCGAACGGAACTTAAGGACAATGTTCATGAAAAACGGATTAGTATGCGATGTTCTCTTTATGCTGAACGGAATGAGTAGTTCTATCTTTAGAGCCGAAGGAAACGCGCTGCGTGGAAAGCCTTGAGGAACATTAGGAAAGGAGTGAAAAAGGCAACGAAAATCCGACTCCGCGCTCTTTTTTTGACACTGCAGCCCCCCTTGACTTGACTTACGCCTCAAAAACTTGGAGTCTTCGAAAGCAGTTGAGCATGCAGTCAGCGTCAATAAGCTGCGAAGACCAATACTTGGAGCTTCTCGACATGCGCAAGTGCAAGGGAGGTTTGGAGTTTTCAGATCTTCTAGCGAATGAAGATCAGAGACGCTCTGATTACACCAATGAATTGTAGACCAGATGAACAGAACAAGCCATGTAATTTCTTGATGACTTTCCAATAACGGTAATTTCTGACCGAGTCTCGAGACGTCAAACAAAAGGAAAAACGAAATTCAGCTCGATGGCTGGACTTCTTGCGGAAGCTCTCAAGGAATTAATGGTTTGCTTGCGGAAGCTCTCAACGATTTAATGGGTTGTCACTGTCCACTAGCCTAGGAGCGCCCCGTGGACTACAATGGCATATTACCAGGTTCAATGGAAACGCTAAAGGCACAGTTCACTATAAAAAAGGTCACTGAGTTTTTACCTAAGGATTACCCTGTGGCCCTCAAGAGTAATAAGAAGGATCCTCTCGTGCCAAAACTCGACGGTTAGGGCATAGTGAAAGTCCCGTTCCCGGCTGGCCCGGACTTCGCGCTCCTCGACCGATGTCACGTCAGACGAGTTCTGATGCGATACAGATTACAAGTGTTCGCATCAGGACCCTTACACAATCAGGTGATGGCCGAGTGATGAGGCAATGTTTTTCTTCCATTCTTTTCTCAGTTTTTTGCTGCTGCGATCCTCATTCTAATTCACTACCTCAAGAGGCTGAAAAAGATTGGCCATTTTCGCTGTTACTAGGGTTCTTTGTTAACTTATGTTCATGAATGGATAAATTTTGACTTACTGTAGTTAGCTTTTCGCATCAGGACGCACATGTACGCAACGATGCACAGTTTAGCTCGTCTGAACGCCCCATTCTCCTTTATTTTTCTGAACTCAATCTGTCCGGCCCCCTTTTTCACGACTTTGCGAAGCCTTTTTTCACCCTAGAAACACCTATTCACGCAGTTTCTTTGCCTTCATCGCACTATTTTCCATCTTACCATTCATTTTTCATAATCTGGATTACCCAAAATCATCGTGAACTGAGCCTTCAGGTTCGTTCGAGCTATTCGATGACCACTGGTACAACAGTTGATACTGGTGACTTCATTTCAAGAGTTTTCCATTCGATAAAGCTGTTCTAATGAGAAAAACAAAGGCATTGCTGGTAAGAGTTCAAAAAGGACAGCTAACGACCAAATGCGATACTCAATGCCTGACAGTGGATGGAAAATGAGCTCCACCTCGAATCTATTCTCGAAATTACCTTGCTAGAGAATGGTTTAAATGTTAGCGCTTCCGAACAGGAAATTTTCATTAACTGCTTCATTTTCAGATCGAAGGACGATTCAAAAGAGTTGTGGAGATGAGCACGAAGAAGTCGCTTGCCAGCAATCTGGATTCGGAAGCAAGTGGATGTCGCGTTGTGTATGCGACAGTCCACTGTGTAATGGAGATCAGGTTCGCGAGAACATCGTTACAAATCAATTTAAGGCACTATTTACCTTTTACTGCCCCACTCTGTCGAGAAAAAGCTGGATTTCTATCGAATTTTTTCAGAGAAGATAAAACCGGCTAGAAACTTGCCTAGAGCAGTAACTTGATCCGTAGAACACGGATATCGCATCCACTCATCATAAAAACGCCTGGGACACTAGTTAGAGGCAANNACCGGTTTCATCTTCTTTGAAAAAATTCGGTAGAAATCCAGCCCATTCTCGACAAGGTGGGGCAGTAAAGGGTAAATAGTGTCCAATTTTAACCTTTTCAATTCAACTTCTGAGAATCAAGGATTGCAAGGTAAGCGGTTGAACAAAAAACTGTCAGGGCTCATATTTGGGGATGCTCAATTTCGAAAATAACCCACTTTGTAAACCATGGCATGCATCATCAGATTCTGTCATTTGCCGTATGAGTTTGTGGTCTCTTACTGAAAGAAGGAAGAGGGGCTGAACTTGGCGGTTAATCGCCTGCATTCTTGTCCTTTCATATTTTTCAACTATCAACTATCAATACTGAGCTGCAGAAGTTGAGTCAGTCACGGGGCACTCAATAAGTTCTTCGAGTTTATTCTATGAGAGAGGACATGACAAGTCACCCAAGTGTTCACCACAAAAGGTCGGCACTGACGATACAGGCCGGTGGAGGCCTATAACTCTGACCTACAAATTGGTCGAATTTGAAGGGATTATTTAATCATCTGTCCCAGCAAACCTTTCTATCAACTTATCAGAAAAGAAATTCACATCCTACCTGAGGACTATCGTTGCTGGAGAGGACATAAAATGTTGTTCAGCGGGTTACGAATCTGGGTGTCACAGATGGTGTTCTAGGAGTAGAAACGTAATAAGGCATATCTTAAATTCCCCCCTGATTGAACTCCACAACTTTTTTCGGGTGCTTCATTGAATACTGTTCTCACCGCCAGCTTTTAAATGAACCAATAAAAGTTCGTGGCACTTATTCTGACAGCAAGATTTCTCTCATGATTTCATTGCAGGCGCTGATCGACGCCGGTCTGGAGCCGTCCTCAGCGGCTCCCCCACCTGGTCAGTTCACACAATTCGCATTGCTTATCGCCATATTGGTGTTCGTTGGCGCCAGCTGCTCATTAATAGTGATCGCCACGATCTGTGTTCAATTCTGCTAGCACCTCTGCGATGCAGCCTTCTCAAACAATTACGAGTGATTAGAGTCTATGCTGTGCACTCCGCCATTCCGCTTTTTTTGTTTATTCGATGGATTTGTGTAGTTATATAACAAAACCCTCTGATAGTGTTGCGGAGCAGTTTGAATATATTGGCGTTTTTTCCGGCTGCTGGCATTAAACTGATCCCGTCATACCCACATCGACCAAAAGACTTCTTTCCTTACCATTGTAATGAAGGAGGGGAACGTGATAGCGAGAAGGTTTAGAATGTTACGAAGGGACCAATCGAAGACGGAGCTACATGTGCAGTCAAAAGGCCCAGCATAACAGCTTGCAATCGAAGGTCAACCAACCTCGTCGGGGGTGGTAGCGATTCAAGGCAGCCCATAAGCTACAACGTACTACTCCGGGGAACTCACGGTTCCTGATAGATCATAAAATACCGTTATTTCTGAGCTCTTTTTGACGATCAGAATTATTCTTTATCCTCTACTACTAATGGATGTACTACTAATGGAGGCTTGCTACTGTTAAAAAGTTCCAACATCTGCGAAGAGGCGGTGTGAAATCCACTCTTAGCAGAACGTTGAGAATAGTGTAATGGACGGTGCCTATCAAGCATCTGTCGATACAACCGAGCCACTTAAAGTCTAACTTATCATGCTTCCACGTAACACGATGATTAGAGGTCCCTAGAGATTACCTTTCAAAGGAGTTAGCAAAGGAGACAGCTGGAAGCAGATTTAGCAGGTCACTGTTGGTAGAAAATTGGTATTGGCTTAATCGATCCCTGCGATGGTATGTGAGGACAAATTTGATAGCACGCCCCATATTGTTGAGATCCCACACTTAACTTTCGGTTCTATCGTATCTTGGTGTGACTATTTGCAGAACATATTCTCTCGTCATAGTCACGAGCACGAGCACTGGGGAACACTAAGTGGGGGGGGGGGGGGGGGGGGGGGNGGGGGGGGGGGGGGGGGGGGGGTGTGGGGGACCACTGATACAAAAAAAGATTTTCAGGTCTCTTCCTCTTCCAAACCTAAAGATGGCGCAATTTCTGCCCTTTCTCGCTACCATATTCTACTCATATCCGTGACTCATTGAGCAGGACCGGATTTTGGGAGACTATTCTAGCAATAGTCTTTCCAATTGCATATTTCAAACAGCCTACAGCAATATCCCTGCAAAAAGCATCTGTAGAACCCCAAGCTTCTCCAAAGGGGCGACCAGTGGGATTATTGAGCGTGTGAAAATGTATCTTTCAAGAGTGTAACGCCAGGGGTAATGGAGGAGGCTTGACACGTACTCAAAGGGCCATATATTTTTTTACAAAAATGTTATGGTGAGAGAGAATAATGAAAGTTGTTCAAAAGACATGACGAGAGTTGCCACCAGCCGGAAATAATCCGTAATCTCAAATTTTCTTTCCACTGAATCCATAGCATCTGTTAGTCCTTCACTTATTGTAGCACTGGATTTCTTAACCCATTGCACCCTCTTTTTCACATTGAGATGAACCCGAACGATGTTGGATTATGCATCTTTTTTTATAGTATAAAATTTTATAAATTTTTCGAAGATCTTCATCTGGACTTGCATTTTTGATAGATTGTAACTCTACGAAGTTTGAAACGCTAAGCGTACGTAGTACCAAAACTGGAGCAGCTACGTAGATCGGGTCGGAACGAGGAAAAAAGGAAATAAATGGAACCGTCAAAGTTGGCCCATTGCCCACAGTAAGTAGTCATCATGTTATTGTGCTATTCGATTTTCACTTGATATTATAGCATACAAGTTTCTTTTTTCAATGAATCCCGTTGCGGGATGCGCTCATAGCCTCGACTCCTCTTTGAAACTGGAACGGATGTTCGAATGGGTATGGACTGTGGAGGCCTGCCAATGCACAAGTCCGCGCTTTCACCGTTCCAGACGAGTCTGGTACCTCATAGACGACTTCAGTGCGACATAAGCCTTGGTTGGCCTGGGTGGGTATCGGTCCGAGATTCCAAACGCGGACCATGCGTGTGATAGTGTGGCCACCTACCACTACATCACCTACTTTCCCCTTGGTCATAATAGGTGCGAACTTATCCCATACTCAATCCATTTATCTTCACGCTTTTTCCCAAATTTCTTATATTAGCCATTTATTAGTGTGTGCGTGTGTGTGACGTGTGGTGTGTGTGAGTGATTTGTGTGGTGTGTGCGCTTGACAGCATTTTTCCATATCCATGTGGATCAGCATGGCATTTGCCAAGGACCGAATCAGTCAAGAAACATTCCAGCTTTTGATGGAGGGTACACCAACACGGGAACCATTTGATGAAGCCGTGCTCTACTAGTGCATTGCCATAGAAGACTACGTCACTTTGTGGAAGGTTGTGGCTGCCAAGTAGTGTATTGAGACTGCCAATAGACTCGATTTCGAGCCCCAATGTAATAGTGGGGTTCAATGGGGTAAAGCAGTGTCCGAGTCAACGGTTTCTTCCTCTAAACACCTGCGGCCTTACCGAGATAGGCCGTCCGTTCCCCAATTTTCGTTTTTTTCAGTTTATGGTAAGTGAACACAAAAGGGGAACAATTAGGAGATTGCAAATCAAGAAAGATATTTTCAAGCTATGCAGTTCTTGAGAGCGAACTGTGCTACACATTCTGGCAGTGTTAAGGATTTATAGTGGCCGAAACTTTGCTCATTATAGATGACTTTAAAATGTAGCCTTACAGAAACAGTAAGAACCCTCCATAACAGAGTGGTCTTGATCGGTTGACCTCTTTCACAAAGAAAAACAATTGAAATGCGACTAGTTACGTCTCACTATAATATTTGTAAATCTCCCAAGAGCTTCTGGTTTCTGGTTTGATACTTGAAAATCATCGGACCTGATAATCACAATGCAGTGCTGCATTTTGAGTTCCTCCATCTTCATCCACACATTATGGTCACCGTCGATTTGCAGCTCAGCTATCGCAAGACGTACAAGCATCTCCGAACAAGATATCGCTACCGGAGTGCTGTTACCCATCCTGAAAAGAATATATTTCTTCAGTTAGTGCATAATGAACATAAAGACAGCGTCAGACCCCGGCTGACAGGTTCGCTGACCCGCCCACAACGAATATGTCTAAAGTCTTAGGAGGACTCAGATTAGGCTAGGACATTGCTTGGAAGTAGGTGAAGTACGCTCGCTCGAGTCTCGTGGGAAATATGCCACTAGTGAAAGACCTTGGCTTAATGGGCTACTTAGAATTGGGACTCTAAATGTCGCCATCGCTTTTTGAGAAGCTCCGAAAAGTTGTTGACCTCATGAAGTGGAGTTCTATGCTTTCGAAGACACGCTTGAAAAGGAATAAAAAACAGAAAAATTGGGGGCCTCAAACGAAGGATTGTGGGACCTGGTCCTCCAGTCTTCCTCAAGGATCGGTCTAGCAAATTTTGAGCAGTGCTGTGAAAGTCACTCTAGTGCTCGAGGAAAACGTTGGAAGAGACTTGTAGGTGGATGGAAAATGAAGGCAAAGTGGCTTCGTAACGACGAGTCCATCAAGTTCTGAAGCGTAAGAAGGCCATCTATAAGCGCTAGGAAACGAAGAGCTCTAAAAAAAACAAAGTTGTTTACAGGGTTGCAAGAGGAGGAAATAGCAGCCGTAGGAAGACAAAAAAGCGGTAATGCACGCTTTGTGCATTTCCGCTTTCCTTGCCTTCCTGCGGCTGCTATGGCCACCTCCTGCAAATGACAAGCTTGATTAACAGAAAGGTCGGACGTTCGCCCGAAGCCTGGCATCAGGCTAATTAAGATCCTGGAGAAATGAGTGTCATGAAGAGCGGCAATGGCTCAATCCTGAGGAAGCCTTCTGAACTCAAGACGAATGGGAAGAGTACTTCGATGGATTCTAAAATGAAGAATTCCACCGTGAAACAGTTCCCAAATAGTGTAGACAGCTGGTCGTAATGAATTCTAGACAGAGGATGAGGTGCGATGGGCAAAAGAAGGAAGTGGAAGCAAAGCAACTTACAGGAGTAGCGAACCCGTTTCACAGCAACTGGCTAGGATGGTGTACTAATCGAGGCAAGGAAGACGCTTAGAGAGCACTCGATTAGGTGGTCTGCCCGGTTCTGAACACTATAACTGCTGAAGGTAGGATTCTATGTGGGTGAAGAAACAGACTGAAATCATTGGTTTTCTCCGCTTGAACTCGGAAGAGGTTGATAAAAATAAGCAGAGAAAACCAACGTTTGCACGATGCCGAGGTTTAGAGATAGCCGTACAAGGCTAGACTGAAGACAACTGTTTTTATATGCATGCAGAAGGGGGACGCTATGGACTGTTTCAATTGTCTGAAAACTGTTTGTTCATACCGTGAGACTAAACGAGTAATGAGTCAAGTCATCATTGAAGGAAGTAGTCCCGATCTCACAGGAACAGTTCGAGTTCGTGCTTCAAATGTCTATAACGTATGCTATCATCTTGGCTATGCCAGTGAAGGAAAATTATCGAAAAAGCGGAACTCTGTCATCTAGGCTTCCTCAATCCACAAGTGGCCTTCGACCCTCCATCGTGAGCGTACTCACACCAGAACATCCTATCGCTTCTGTTGATGAATTCAATACGCTTTGTGACACACCTTACAGCTTATCAATAGTAGCAGAAGACGAGGTTGGGGTATGCAAAGGATCAGCTTTGTGCCTACACCTGATTACAATGGACTCGAGAAACTATCCTCCACCAGATGACATCGCCTGGTAGACAAGAGCAAAGAAGAACTCCAGACAAACTGCAGAAATAGCAGAAACGTAGGCGGAGAATGTTCTCCGAAGAGAAGCAAATCTAGCAGCTCTGCGCGCAGATTGTCCTGAAGAAGTCATCGAAAGCAAGCAGGACTTCTGGTTCCCGGAAAGCGACCTCACGGCTGACGGTAAAGTTGGCCCGATTGTGAGGGCTCGGATAAACACAGCGTAGATGATTTGGAAAAAGTAAAGTGGTATTCTCTGGGACCAGCAGTACTCTAGAAGGTTCAGAAGAAAGTGATTCAGAATAGCGGTGAAGCGTGCTATTCTCCACGGCTTGCAAGCGATAGGCATGAAATGCAACTTCACACGGTTGTAATGGGGATATGGTCAGATAGGGTCGCGGTTGGACGAAACTAGACCAGATCAGAAACAAAGACGTCAGGGCGACCATGAAAAGAGCCTCTGTCCAGCCGAAGAGCGTAAGCAGCGTCTGGTCCAGCTGAAGAGCGTAAGCAGCGCTTGCGTTGGTATGGAAACGATTTCAGAGGAAACAGGGATATTCGACAAAGTAGTCTTTGGAGTCCGATGCTAAAAGAAGCGACCACGTGGAGGAAGGACCTCTCTGGAAACCAAGGTAACGGCAAAATATGGCGTAGATAGGAGGAGGTGGTGGCAAATTACAAGGATAGCGAATCTTGCAACGACACGGAATGAACGCTAAGGAGAAGAAGAAGACTAATGAATACAGAAAGAAGAATAAGTAGAGTGTGGATAAAGTGGTGATGAAGCGAAGAAGCTGTTTCAGACGCAATCCCCGCCAGCGATCTACACATTGAGGTACTGCAGAGGTTTTAGGTCAAATTCTCGGCCCAGGGGTGATAGATTATAAGCGGTTTGAATAAAATGCCCAAAGTAAACACTGTCAGGTTCATCTTATCGAATAGAAGTGGTTCACCTGCTTCGCCACATCGACAGGATTGCAAGGCACTCCTTTAATTCATCAATGTCTTCACTTTGAAACAGCGCCCTTACACGATTCCATTCGACCCTGGAAATTAGACAGGTAATGCAGTCAAAGCTGCTTTGCTTTGCTTTGACTGTATATAACAGTCAAAGCAAATCTACTAAAATTCACTGTAATATGTTCTAAAAAGGAAAAAACAATTGTGTTAACACCACCGCTGTGTTTTCGTGCTATCACGCTTCCAATTGCTCTTGAGTTGACTACTTGGCATCTTTCATAGTCCACGACCGGTCGCTAGCGACTGGCGACCAGTCGCGCGACTGATCGTGGACTATGAAAGATGCCCTTCCGACGTTACTTTGATCACTGTCACTCCTTGATATTCTTTCTCACTGAGAGACATACACCACTTAACACCTTGCCGACGCAGGCTTTGCATCGATTTAAGCGCTTCACCACTACCTTGTGATAATATAATATGTGCAATGCACCAAACGCCAATTGAAACTAGTTTTAATGTGGATATTTTGTCAGACTTCCCCCAAAACATCAGAGCAGAGCATGTCACAGAGTAACACTCACGTTCAACGAGAGCCTAGGACACTGCATATAACTGGATCTCGTAAAGCAGAATGAGTGTTCGACCGAAACAGCGGTTTTGACTGAGTGAACCGAATGGTGATAAATGCTAGGATAAACCTGGCGCGACATTACGAGCTTTTGGGTTATGTAGCAGCTATCGTAGAAGCCATGCTTTGCTGGCTCCTCCCCTCGATCCTCAGGCATGTTCGCTATTGAGATATCTACAAAAAAGTTGGGGGATGAAATATATGCATCAACCCAATAATTCAACTCTCAATTTTGCACAATAACCAAAGCGCCCGCGACTTGTGCCCACTGCCTTCACCGACAGCATTCTTGGCCACATGCTGACAAAGCTGGACACTGATCGAATCTGACGATCGATGACGGATGTAATCTTTTCCGCATTGTCAACATGTGGCCAGCAATGCTATCGGACGGTCGCACGTCGTAAAACTCTGAAAGCACAAAGCAGAATTTTCTGTCCATCGAGTATTAAGGATTGATAACACATCGGATCGACGCCATTCCCCTTACAAAGTTAGTTGTACTTTGGAAACTTCACTAGTTTCTTGAGCGTTTTCAATGTCTGCTGAATATACACATTCACTTAAACAATTGATGTTAGAGGGCTGGAACTTGAGCGTATAGGGTCATAAAAAGAAGGCATCAACTACTGTCTGTAGGGCTCATAATGGTTGCGTATGTGAAGCAGATGGGCAAGCATATGCTTTTCAATCATTGAATCGAACAGTGAAACATTAAGCTGCACTTCCTACGTTTCTTCAAACAGATTTCAGCATATTTTACAATAGCAAATAGAAAGTGACAACTTACACCGTATAAGGAACACGATAGCACGCATTGCTCATATGAGGTTAGCTTGGGAAAAGCTCTCCTAAAATTAGTTCTTTTCATGTGGTGTATAGTTGTTATAAGCAACGGTGGCCCATGAGGAAAAAAAAAGGATTACGCTGTGGAACAGAACTTGTGGTGCAAGGATGTAAAAGGGCTTTGAAACTTTCTATAATCTATTTCGCATCTATCAGTCTTTCATGGATGCAAAATAGAGATCGACAAGAAGAGTAACAACCGTGACTTTTCAAAGTAGCGTAGGATTAACGATCAAGCTTCCAATGTCCGCTAGCAGCGGTGTCATGGTTTCGACTATATATTCAGATTACAAAAGTGAATTTCCGGTATGTATGGGTATGTATTTCATTCGAAATCTACGCCTTGAAAGTCACTGACGGCACCATAAATTCTTTCATTTGCACATACCAACAACAATAAATATGTACCACATATCATACAATCTTGCATTGGAAGACCCAATCAGTGCTCTTCATGACGAACGTACACGACACTGTAACTATGCAACAGTAAACAACACAAACATTTGAAACCTTGCGAAAATTGGCATTCGTCTTAAAACCTGAACTCAAGTAAAAAGCTCGAAAGATGCTAGGACTTGAGCTAGACGTTTGAAGTGCAATCAATAACGAACACAATACAAAAATACAAACGGAGATCTACCTACAACCCGATATTCGGTATTACTTTTTTAGAATACGTGAAAGGAGTTCGAACCGCTGCTAGAAGTCCTTTCTTATTTAGGACAGGTGTATCCGATCCATACCTTAAACATCAGAAGAGCTGAGAACAAGGCACCAACGTGAAGAATAGCATTAGAGGAAGGGTTTAGGGTAACAATCAATGATTACCGTAGTGGGGTTCCTTCCAAATCGACCATTGCTCCTCCAAGGGCACGAAGTATTGCATCTCCCGCACAAGTATCCCACTTCTTGATTGCAGTTTGGTGAATATAAAGCTCTAAATTTTGAAAAGATGGCAAGAGTTTTTCGATACTACAAAAGCCATACAACGTAAAAAATCATGTCTTGCTCGACAACATCCTCATTACGCATCTAAATATTAACGTTGATGGCAATTCAGAGCAATAAAACTCTGATAAGACTGCACGGAACAACTTTTCTTAAGTGAGCCGTCGTGATCTGCTTCTTCTAGAGAAGATATGAACACAATAGAACAATCACGATATCTGAGCCACTAAAAAGTTTTCACTCAAGCGGGGTTGTATGACGAGTAACGTTTCAAATGGGATCTAAAATATATCTGAGAGGCAAGATCCTGAATGATCGACATCATGATTCAACAAAGGTCTTGTGGGTCTGATCTTGCTATCATATTCAACAACGCTTCAACAACTTTTCGCTCAAAACCTCAGCCTCACGAAGCTTTCAATTATCATTACGACCAAATGCTTCATGAACGCTGATTAGTAGCGCAGCACCTGACAGAGCCCTCGATTCACTTTGTGAGAAGACCGAAATGAATAGAAAGTCTAGAAGAAGGGAAACTTGCGAAAAGAACAAACCTGCAGTGCCATTCACCAATCGCAGTGTTTTGTAACCACTTCCTCCAGCTGGTTCCACTGTGTACTCATCACCGAACGACTTTTGTGCTAACTTCTCAACAGCACCTGCGTGAGATCTGAACAACAGTATAAACCAAGATGTATTTTGTTCAATTCCAACGCATTACTGTATAGCAGCTTAGTTATAGTATACAAATGTGTATCGACAAATCTTATTGATTATTCCGATCAATAACCTATGAAACTGGTTTGAATTTGAACCTCAACAGCTAATTTCACTCCAACAAAAGCTTCATTTTCAACAAAAGCGCAAACGGCTGCGCACGATCCGGTGCGGCGAACGCGGCACGCCTTACGTGTACGAGAACCAGCATTTTTTGTACCATCCTTTACAACATTTTCAAAGAGAACCGTGATTTTTAGAATTTTAGTGCATGCCCACCATGGCCACTCAAAATTCCCTCCTCTCATGACCTCTGCTCACTGTCTTGCGGGCTGTGGAAACTTGGATGCACGCTCCGCCTACTATTATCATCTGATCCTGTTTCTCTTTGATATTCTCTGACCACTTTTTTGGAACATAGACCATTTTGATCTTTCAAGTAGCTCCGTTTACATTGGCCGGCGACCGTCTGTTGCAAAAATTTGGCATATATCTTTGGATAGCCTCCACCGATCGTTTTCCGTATTTTGTAACGCTTTCAATCGAAGGTGTGGCTTTTTGTTAGTTGGGAGTGCGTCCCGCCCATTTGCTCAGTTCGGGCATACATAATATAATACTAGCATCTCGGAGCTCGATTATTCCTGCAAAAACTTCCCTAGCCACCAGGCCGTGATGGAATCGAGTTATGTTCCCCACTGAAGACACTCTGCTTTCTAAGGTGTGTTTGATTGTTTCACTTGGTAACCCACCTACCTTTCACTACTTTCCCGCTGTTCTAAAACCGAATCAAGAAGTCTCTCGGTTGGCACTGCCCATCCATTTTGGTGCACGCCCCGCCCCTCGAAAGCTAAGCTCCTCCGATCTCACACATGCCCTGTTGATCTTTCTCTAGACCCACCTATCCTAGTCTAATCTTTCCAGATGCTTTCCAGATGCTTCCCGTGTAATAGCGAGTTTCGCAACAAGTAGGCAAAAAAAAAACAGTAGCTTCTCATACATCGTAAATGATGAACACTAAAAAGTTACTTCGACTGACCTTGAGACTACTATCTTCTTCACTGTGTCTTTGAGGTCCACTGGCGTCACTTTTTCTAAAGATGACGTCATCACACCCCATCCCGTGACTCCAACAACTGTAAAAGAAATTTCATCTCAGCCAGACACAGCTCCGTTTAAAGTAGAATGATGCAAGGAAAATGATCACCCAAATTTTAATGGTGACACCTACCCGTATCATTTGCGAACGGCCGATGAATAACACCAAAAATTGGTTCATCTTTCTTCACCACACATGCCATTACAGTGACAAACTCCGTCAAACCCTCTGAATACCCAGCAAATTTCTTTGCGAATATTTGAAAATTAAACTTGTAGGAGGAAAATCCATACCAGTGTATTCTTGTGTGGCGTCTAGAGGATCAACATAAACCAGAACGTCAGAAAGTATAAGACGACGAGAGGGAATTTGAGTAAGTACATCACGAATGGATAACCACATTGAATAGGAATCTGCTCGATAACGTGCTGCATCCGATTCCGAAATAGAGCTGTCTTTTTCTTCGGTTACAATCTGAAATCAGGTTCTGCATTGAAACCTGGGAATCCCTGTAAGTTTAGCAAAACTCTACCTTGAGGCGGGGAAATCGCTGTAGAACGTCGAGAATCAAAAAGTTGGATATCAGATCCGCTCTGGTTAGCAGCTCGGCCTTTCCTTCATCAGTCAGGCCTTTTTGTGCGGTATTCAATACTGAAAACAGAACCTCCTAATGGTTACTGTAGCTGATTGGGAGAATAATAACTAGCACGAAGTACAATGCATTTTGCGCGACCGCCAATTAAATCATATGTTTTCGTTAACCATGGAATGCAAATCGGTAATGAGCAAAGGCGAAGAAAAACAGACGACGGTAAATGTTAGAAACGATGAGATCCAAAGAAGATGCATTTTCAGGATGTAGTTACCACCAAGCGCTTATGATTATATGAAGTTTGCGCTGATGAATGGTAAAGGGGATAGGGTCGGGCATCAAGGGTGTATATCAGAAGACGTATATTACGAACTGTCACAAGCCATTATATCCTCTATATATGACAAATTCCCTAAGCTACTCAAGCCCCTATGAATCAAATACCAAAGCCTGACGAGGGGACATATTCTAGTCAGATACCGGCACAAATAGCAACAAAACTTATTCGACAAATACTGGACCGAGTTTTCAAGCGAGTGGTGCTGTGAATAACGGTAACAAGAGTATCCGAGAAACAAATTTTTGCCACTGATTGCTGTCCATGCCCCACCACACTCAGTACGCCTCCTCTTTCTTGGATATGAATCATCCTTCCTTCTCATGCCCACCTCCAGGTACAACACTACTACCTTGAAGGACTGTGAATGTGCTGACGATGCACTAAATTATATTGAAACTGATTGTCATCGTTACTGCATGATAACACATTCATGCTATCGGATACCCTATTTTTCTCATTCCCTGCTGTTTTTCCTTATCTACTCTCACCCATGAGTAAAGGCATTTCACTTATTGATATTTACCTAGTTCATTTTCTTCAAGAACGGTTCGTGTTCCAGCGTCAACTCCTGGCTGTGCCTTCGGCATCACGATGTTTAACAGCCATTTGTTATCAGAAACACAACATCTCAACTAATTAAAACTCTGGAAGGGTCAATTCCTTAGTTTATTCAGCGGTCGACTGGCATCTTTGTCACATCCACTTATCTGATCTACGTGCTTGCCAGTGCAAACAAACTGAAGGTACAAACATGAAATGAGTGTCTTTTAACAGTGGAATGATCACGATTATCTGAGGGCATTCAGTCTAATACCGTTACCTGCATAATATCTTTTTTAAGAGTTACTCGTTTTCTGCGGAATCAATGGTGCCTACGAAGAAGACAGGTACGGAGTGCAAGCAATCTACGACAACTCTTTCTAGCGAGTTAGACGACAAGTGGCTTAGTTTGGCTTCTAGTGTTACCCTTGGCCCGTGCTCAAAAGTCGAAAAAAAAAACTCCTCACCGTTTTCCTCATGAATTTTGCGCACCGCAAATCCACCCATTTCCACTGCCAAAACAGCATAACTGAAATTAGGATATCAAGAACTGTATGAAATTGAGTGCAGTACTTCTTCAACATCAGTAATGCTGGAATAAATGGAGTCATGGGCCCGGATTATGGTTGGATCGCCATTGAGAAACAAGTCTTTCATCTCCTATGAAAGTTTTGTTTGGGTGCTTCGAAACATTCAGCTCGAGTCTACCAGGTACCATCATCTCCTTCCGCTACCATCCAAAACTGGTTTTCTCTTGCTTTTACCTATAGGCCTTCATAGAAAAGGATGGAATAGGTTTTCATAGTTTGCCCTGTGCACCGTTATGGGCGGTGCAAAAAACAAAAAGTTCCCAGTTCGGTTGCAGATTAGCCCAGACACCGGAAAAAAGCTGCGATGATGAATGGTGACAACAAATGAAACGAAGGCGACTTATTCGCGGTGGGCGGTTGCCTTCAATTGGACTGTGTTTCCCACATAAACTACCCAATTCGATTCCAAGGCAGCCTATTGACCACAATGTGCGAAGGAGCTCAGATCGAAAAGCTCAATTACATTAGAAGCGTCCTTTGATGTGACCCACACCTTAGTGTGCGCAGACCAACTGGTAAGAGATCAGTGATGAGCTGACTGTTTGACTGATTTGTTTAACGATGACAACCCATAACGTGGTAAAGACACGTTTAGGAGGAAGGTTATAACTGGCTACATATTATATGTACAGAACAGGGGATCGCTGTTGACTTGTTCTATAGTGACACGAAAACCAATGGAGTGGGGTTCTAACAAATCAACAAACTTGTTGTCAGATGAGAACTGCATGTGAAAAAAAACTAACCTGACGACATCGTTTAGATCAACGTCTATTTCTGGAAAGCCGTCGCCAGCTTTGAAGAATATCACATAAGCGATATAGATAAATGCAGCTCCAACCAAGAAGGCGAAAATATTACGAGCATGCAGGCGAACTTGCATCGCAGAAGCGGTGCTGTCCTATTGAAAAAAATGGATATAGACACTTGTGACAGTTTACTAAATTTGGCAGAATGCCTTCATAAGATAGCAGCCCATTTAAAAATCTCACCAGCAGCTTGTACATTTTCATGTAAAATGAATGATGACTCGGAGCTTTGAAAGGAATGACCAAGGACGAATATGAATTGGAACGCTCAGAATGAAATGTCCGTACCTGCGAAGTGCAGCGCTAAGCACAATGGTGTGATTCTGTGCGTGCGGATATAAACGATTAGATCGCCGCGACCAGCAATCTACGTAGGCATCAGCGTGTATCCTGCGTTCATAAATTTGCTAAGATAAGCCGTTAAAAAGACCTAAGCACTATTATCAACGAAATTGATCTATTCAGCAAGAACATAGGTGGTTCGAAAGCCACTTCGACGAGAAAAAAAACGAGAACAAGCTTCCTTCGTAGATGAATGATGTCCACGTACACAATGAGACCGGGAAATAAGTAAACAGCGATCACAACACATTTTCAAGTAAAAGGTATCGAACCAAGGAGTATTAGTTGATCATAAAACCTTATATGCAATGAATTGGTGAATATGGCCAAGGTGTAAAGTAAGTTGAAGAGTGTGAATAGAAGTGGTCACATTATAAATCGAGTAGAATAAATAGAGGCGAAAGCGTTAAGGAGTTATAAAAGCGAGAAAAAAAAAGAGAAATTTGGGTTGAAGGTCCAACTCTCCGAAAATATGAAATGGTACGTTATTATCGCAACGATTGAATGCTTTCAATCGAGAAAATATGAAAAAGGAATAACCAAAACTTCTGTGTGAGTTCCAGAGTTAAAACCAAAAAAGAACTGCAGCCTTATCCTACTATTTCCAACCCCGAAACGTCCGTCAATATCATAAAGAGACGATGAGCCATCACAGGACCTAGTCGACGACCGGCTTCAGTTTGCAACTCGGACAATTCTCGAACAGCAAGTGTGTAACCCATCTAAACTTTAGGATTTTACTACTTTTAGTACGGTAATGAAGTGAATGAAGTTCCAACCTCTTGGAATCTTTTACTGGCCAAAAGCGGATTCGGATAGGCAGCAACTATAGCTCGCCTCTGCCCATCTTGCATACGACAGATCACTGCCAGCATTTTATTCCACCAGTCACGGACCAGTTCATCTGGTGGTGCATCTTTGACACCCTAAACATTCACAGGGTAAATAACTCGGGCAAAAAAGCATTGAAAAATCATTATACGACATCATTCAGCTATTGCGCTTTGGTACCTGAGCAATCTGTTCGATTTATCCTGTTCATAACGCTCCTTTCAATAATTTTGCTAAACAAGTTGGAGTAAACTAGGGTGACTTCATCTACTAAGATGCATCGCCCGCACGACGCTACACTATCGGGAACGCGAGCCTTTCTTCGGCTTCTGATTACTTGTTAACCGGTGACCTTCTCACGTTGATGCGAAGCAACTATGATTGGGTGAGAAAACCCAAAAAACATTACACCTTCGATACATATCTAGCAGTTGATATTGAAAGTTTCAAAAAAAAATCTTACGTGAAAAAAGTGGAATCATATTCTCGTTCAATTTTAATCGAATTAATATCTAAAGATTCTGAATTTCGATTCACAGTTCTAGTTGTCAGAAAAATTAGGCTCGCCGTTTAGTCGTTATTCAGGTTCTGTCGCTGCTTATATCGGCGATCATCTACAAACCTGTCACNTTCGATATATATCAAACAGTTGATATTGAAAGCTTCAAAAAAATCTTACGTAAAAAAAGTGGAATCATATTCTAGTTCAATTTTGATCGAATTAATATCTAAAGATTCTGAATTTCGATTCACCGTTCTAGTTGTCAGAAAAATTAGGCTCGCCGTTTAGCCGTTATTCAGGTTCTGTCGCTGCTTATATCGGCGATCATCTACAAACCTGTCACCTCCAACATCGCACACCAAAATGCCAAGATTCCCCAGGCTGTGTACAAGATTAAGTATCCAGCGCCTACAACCTTCTGGAATTTTTATCAGCATTTACCAGTTCTTATCACTCCCTCTCGTCAATCACCTACTTATTCGTCACATTCCCTACCACACACTAATGCACTGCGACTTCACTATGAAGGACATGAATCCACTGACTCTTCCCTTCTGGCGCCATTATCAGATCATACCAGTTGTCTCTATTCTCTGTAGCTAGCCCTAACCATTTCTGCTCCACTACTGCCCAATTCAACATAATTCAGTTCTAGCCTGCGCCATCTAATCTTCAGTACAAAAGGCGGAGGAGATCCAGCGGCTTCGCATTTCATCTTTCATCATTAGACATCTAATTTTATCATTTGCTCTAGTCTCAAAAACGTTCTGTACAGTAAAAATTCTTCCCGGGTAAAGGGTAGCTCGATCAGCTTCCGGTTAACAAAGACAGACACCTTCGTTCAAATCATGATTATGAGGAATCATGCAGGTCTGCCAAACTTATTAGATCAGTGGAACAATATGTCCTACTATATACAATTCGCTAAGTGTGTCTGTTGGTTTTTTGATATGGGTGTGTCGGCCTGCATGTTTGACCGAAAATTCATAACTCCTGTTCCCGTGAACCCGAAGCATTGAAATTGGTAGGAGAAGAGGAGGCAGGGTGGGAAGAACACTCAAGGCAGGTAATGGGACTAGACTCCGCTCACAGGGAGCAGAGCGTGAGAAGAAATTTTCGACCGCAAATTCATAACTCCTTATTACTTGGGCCTAGAGCGTTGAAATTTGGTAGGAGTATAGGCAACAGGATGGAAAAACGTATGGCAGGTAGCAGCGCTAGATTGCGGGGTTTGCGCGAAATAAATTGTTGAGCGCAAATTCACAACTCCTGTTCCCGGGAACAAAAGTTCAATTTTGGTAGGATTACAGTTTTTCGTATTAGAAGTGGAGTCGTGGAATTTTATTAAGTGATTTAGGATATGATGAGATCGTAAGTACTCGGTGACAGGAATCGACGACAACTGGTAAGAGAAGATAAGGGGCCTAAGAGAACAAGAGACAGTTACCGTTTAAAACCCTAACTCTAACATATAGCAATTATATTAAGATTACGCTCAAGATGTGGAGCTGAATGGCATACATGATGATGATAATTACGCTGGTTTTTGCTATTGTATTTCTATAATATATCTATACTTATGCAATCTTCCATTCAAATGAAATTTCAGCTCTCCGCTATAGTTCTCATTTCTTCTCTTTTGTGCATCTATACTATTTTTAAAGGAATCGGTACACTGCTCTTCTGTTCAAAACATGTCACAATTATTCTTAACTTAGCTTGATTGCACATTTTTGTGCGTTAAATTAGACCAAGTGTACAAACCGCGTTTGTTTGAAAAAAGAATCAGGGCAACTATAATTGCTTCCATATTTCTTATGTTTCCGCTTAGAATTCATATTTACAGAATGAATGTACCTTCTCCACATCAACAATCAGCCGATCACGGTGTGCCAAGGAACGCTCCATTTTTGCTAATGCACGACTGATCTGAGCCAGATAAGTGGCGAACTCTTGTGCATTGTGAACGTAGTGCAATTGAGTTCGGTAACAATCGAAAAGCTCGATCGAAAAACTGAATAACTGAAAGGAGTTCCTTATAAGTAAGAATTTTGCAATTGCAAAATGAATATTCGCCTTCAATCGAAGTTCAAAGAACTACCTGGTGAGAATCTTTCCCGAAAACTATGAGTACCAGAGTTGAGTTGGCGACAGAATATGACAATTTTTGAGCAGCCACGAAATCCTCAATGCTTTTGCTGCGAATAAGTTCTTTGAGTGAATCGGATGTCAGAACCACTGCGAATATATGTTGTGGAGCCTATAACGTGATGAAGAGCCGGGCTGTGAAGAAAGCTTCATGGGCTGCGAGTTTCAAAACTCACAAAGTATTCGCGCTTGTCCACTGCGCCATCAGCCTCCACTGCTTCAATACATTTACGATACCATAGCACTTGCATATCAGGCCGATCCTCGTCACAAATCAACTGTTCGTGAATATTCCTTTCCGCAAAAAGCATGCGTGTTCGAATTTCTGTTTCTGCTGAAAACAAGAAAGAATAAAAATCTCAAGATTCTAAGCGATACTCGTGAACCACCAAAATTATAGGTAAAAGTGCCTTAGAAATATAGAGACTTGTTGACTCGGAATTTTTTTCAGCAAGTATAACGAGTAGGCATTGTGTTCATATTGATAACATATTTTATATAGTCTCCCCTTCAGTTGTAAAGGGGAGCGATGCGCATCAGGAGAATGTTCGACCCTTATTTCATTAAAGCTGGCTCTTTCAAGACCTGCCTGTTTTCTTTTTCACGCCAAATGGTTAGTGATTACAAAGGAAGAAGTTTGCGTCGCATATCAA